CACTAGTTGCTACTTCGGGTTATATTTGTATTGTAATCCCAAAAACATTGTATTCTGATGGAGTACGTACACGCACATATATATACACTTCATAACATATATTTACTTCTTTATTTATTATATTTATCTAAATATATATAACTCAAAGGTGATTGACATAGTGATCTATCAACGCACAGCCCAAACCACTGGACGGATCGGGCTGAAATTTGGCATGCAGGTAGACGTTAGGGGATGAAAGTTTATATGAAACTTCGTCAATTTTAAACCGATCGGGCTGAGACTTTGCTTGCATGAAGCTGCTATGACGTAGCCAGCCCCTAAAAATGGATTTTGATAAATTCCACCCCTAAAGGGATAAATTAATACGAGCGAAGCCGCGAGCAAAAGCTAGTTCTTTATAAAATTGTCTGTGTAATATTGGCGAGCTTATCGCCATATGGCATTCTACACCAGTTAACCATTACGTACGAGCAGAAAGCTGTTAATGGGCAGTAGTGAAAAAAGAGAAACCTATAACTTTAGCAACACCAGGAGAATTGCAAGTATGTAGCCGGCATTTAAGGAAGGAATTAATTATTTTCCTGAAGGTTTTAATATCGTATCGGCTCGGAAATATTCAACACCATTGCTGGAAGATAAGTCCACAATGTGATTGTGCGTGACAAGAAATGTAGATTTAGATAGATTTTTCTTGCAAACCTATACAACTCGATGTACACGTTCACATTAAAGTTATATCTATCTATTATTAAACAACAATTTTTTTATTAATTTTATTTGTTTCTCTATTAATGTCTTTATTATTATTATTATTATTATTTTTTTTTTCTCAGCTATTCTCATCTCCCACTTACGGGCCGAAAGGAGAGTGCAGAGTGTTATTATTATTATTTCCACCGTTTCACAATATAAATATTGTTATATATTATTATATCACCAAGTCATTTGTTCACACAATTGAATTTTTAGACATTGTTTACTGGGCTGTTTCAAAATTTTCTAACTATTGAACACGTATCCAATATAGTGGATTTCTGTAGTTCAATGTAGCTAAATTTCCTTAATTGCAGTTGATGTAATGACGAATGCAAGTGTGTGTATGTGTGTGTGCATGTTATTATTATTATTATTCTTTATTTTTTCTCAGCTATGTGTGAGTGTGTGTGTGTGTATTATTATTATGTTCATTATCACATTTTTTGCATTGTGATATTAACTAGTACTTCAGCCGCGATTTGATATGGCCAAAGTTTAATTGTTTAATGTGTTCCTCTGGAGGGGGTGCTAAATTACGAAATAAAAACATATATATTATATTATATTTTATATACATTAGTTAGTAGTTAATACTTAGATATATAAATTAAATATATGAATAATTTTGAAAACTGCACTATTGGGTAGCTTAAGTAACCATTAGACGTCTCTAAGTATAAGGGTTGGACACATTTTTAGTTTGAAATACTCGTGAACGGGTGGTCAGCTCTGATAACTGTGACAGATTTTTGTTACTTAAGTAACTATTTATTTACTTATACTGTCACAATTTTAGTAGTTTGGTGTTAAAATAAGTTAAATAAAATCCGGATTGTGTGAAAGAATATAATTATGTGACATAAGTTATGTAATATATACTGTTAGCACTGTAGTTCATAAGGAGGTTCTTTGTCCATACACAAAATTGCACAATTTAGCATCTAGTAGCACAGAATACTCACTGCCCTGGAGTATCCTGCGTCACACGACGGCAGTCGACACGGATACTAGCGGTGTAGGCCGTTTAGCACTCAGATCAACTTTGTTATTCGGCAGTTTGTATTAACACAAAATTTTTAAAAATGTAATTCGTAACAACGTATATTTAAAAGCAATACAAAAGTTAGTTTGTAGTTTCAAATAGTTTCAAGTTTGCACATTCTTCTTGTGCTGAGTCTGCGTTCCGAATGTGTGGTAGAATAAAAATATAGACTATACAAAAGTGCTTATATTAAGTTTATTTGCATAAAGATTATTTCTTTTCTATTCTATTCCATATTCTCAGAAACCAACGGCCACAACAAATCTTGTTTATTACATTTTAAAGGGTAAAAAAAGTACTCCGTAATACTGTGACGTTTTCATACAGACAACCTTGACTACATTTTTATTAGAATCAATCAGTTTTATAACTTAATATCTGAGGTCTGTAGGTTTATAATATATTTGTGCGCATATGCGCGCCAGACTGTATGCGCGGTACAAGTAATAAAAAATAAGCGTTATTGAGAAATTAATAATTAATTTCTTAATAAACGAACATTTTTATTATACACAAGTCCCGGAAACGACAGAGTTCTATTATATATATTCTATGTTACATTGTACATATGTATTTGTACCGGTAAAGTAGAGTAGAATCAAGACTATTAACTACCGTACTAAGATCTCTGCGTAATCCTAACAAACACACGTGAGTAGACTCAACTAGTCTACTCACGTGTATCTAAATAAAATATGACAAAAAATATGACACTCCAAATTATTTGGATAAATAATTAGCAACGCATACCTACCTAGCAGTATATAGTCTATATATGCCTGGAATATCATGTTACTATTAAATTACAATGGTGATATAAAAAACTATAATTAAGTATATATAATTCTTCTTATTATCAATTCAAATATCTTAGTAACTATATAACATAGCAATACATATGTAACATCCTAAATATTACAGCAGCAACTCAGACCTGTCCACATTAGAAGACAATCAAAACATACAGACAGACAAATTCAAAAACACATACACAAACATACAAACAGTTAAAACTCCAGTGCTTCCAAACAATTTAAGTAACATATCTATGTCCCACTATGGACATAGATATGTTACTTAAATTGTTTATATTCATGTTACTATCATGATTAGAAATCGACCATACAAATTATATATAATCGCCACCGCGTTTAACTTAGAACAAACGCAAAAAGTATATTAATGAACAATAAAATTAATAGAGTAACCCTGACGACTCAGGTGTAGATATTAAAATTGTTTTGTTGCAGTGTTTAATGAGTTTCACCATCTGAATGTTTATCATCTATGCACACGTGCTGGCTAGACATTCAGATATTTATATGAAGGGATGCTCTAAAAAAAGTATAGCAGATTCCGTTTAATAAAATAAAAAGTAAACATAATTAATAAAATGAGGATAATGACAACTTGATGATCTGGATCTCCTGAACACTATTATACCTTTCGATGCTCGCAGGTTCTATCGTATCAGAACTCATTATTCAGTCATGAGAGTTATGCTTAGAAAGTTTTTGGTTTTTCAAAACTTTAAAATCATAACTCCCATGACATTCAGTTATTCCCATGAATATCATTTCTGACGACGATGACGACCTCGGTGGTCTAGCGGTCAAGCACACCGCTTAACGACCGATGATCGCGGGTTCGATTCCTCGCATGGCACAAACATTTATATTTATGAGTATGATTGTTTATATCTTTATCTATATTAGTATAGAGTTTTCTATGTATAATATGTATGTATTTACAAAAAAAAATATCTTATCTAGTACTCATAACACAAGCTATAGCTAGCTTAACTTGGGTCTAGATGGCTCTGTGTGAATTGTCCTGAGATTATTATTATATTATTCACTAAAATATATTAAGAGTTTTTCAAAACTTTAAAAGCATACTGTACTCATTAGTATGAGTACGCTTATTAGTGAAATTTGTTTAAAATATTAAATTATAAATCTGGTAGAGTAGTAAAATATTAATCAGTCACTATTCTCATTAAATTCTCACTTAACTTATCTTGAAAGTTTTTCAAAGCATAACTCTCGTGACTTTCACCAACGTGTACGCTGCAGTTTTATGTCGTGCGACACGCGTGTTGCTTTACGACACCCACCTGTGCATGTGGGTCGTCACGGCCCGTCAATACGACATCTCGTGTCCTGTATATTGGGGGATTCTTGAATTTCCAATGACACTTCAGAGTACCGTAAAACTGCTTAAGGGTTCACACTTATAAAATGTTTGCTTACTAATACAAACCTACGAAATGATTACGAAAAAATTGATACACTGTTCAATTAACAGAATAGTTTTATTAAAAAAATATAATACTAATAGAAACGTGAAGTCTATAAAATGTATATAAATACTAATAAAAGTATTTTTTGCTGCATTTCAAGAAATCAACCCTGCATGGGTTAAATTTGAACATACAATAAGTGCCAAGGGGTCATGAGTACCCGCAACACTAAACAAATTGTGTGTATATTACCGGCCTTTTAAAAAGGAATAATCACTTTTCCATTGCAGGAAGGTGATTCCACAATGTGGATGTACGTGGCAAAAAGTTTCTGAAAAAATGCACATAGGAGCACCGAGGAACGCCACTCATCTAAATGATCGAGATGGTATTTTAGTTTCTGGTGGGTACAGTATTCAGGTCAGGGGTGGCGAACTTAATTAGACCCAAGATCTCCTGTTTACTATTGAAACCTTGTGCGATCTACCAATTACATACTTATTGAAATCTTAAATGAAACATAAATGTGAAAATTATTCTTAGTACTACTAGGTACTTATTTACCTTTATTTTAGTGTGAGTATTGTGTCTTAGCATCTTCCACTACATAGTTTAACATAATCAGGTTTGTGGTTGGAAATTGCCAACCTTTTTTACGAGTACATTGCGCAGTCTGGTCTATGTATTTATATTTTTTGCCTTGCCACGATCTAATGGATTGACAGTCCTGTTGGCCACATCTGGTATTGGTAGTAAATTTAGCAGCTGGTATTAATCTGCACTTTGGAGGACAGCCATCCATCCACACTTTCAAGAAATCACCTCATACATCGGAAAGCGACAGATATGATTGCACTTATAATAACTGATATGACTTACCTCAAGAAACACAGTGAAAGCACACCCGATACATCAGAAAAGAAGAAATATGATTCCACAGTAACTGATATGACTTACCTGAAGGAACAGAGTGAAGGCGACCCACTGGTAATATTTGCCGTACTTCCTAGGCGAGGTGCCGGCTCCCTTCACTCCCGGGTATGCACCCCCCGCCTCGCCAGCCACAGTGAAGGTAGAGTGAATCCAGCAGTACGTGTTCAACACATCTTCTGGTATATCCCTGATAGAAGAAGAGGTCGTGGCTATAATAACTACATAGTATAAAACAAAGTCGCTAATGTATGCTTAAATCTTTAAAACTACGCAACGGATTTTGAATCGGTTTTTTTAATATATAGAATGATTCAGGAGGAAGGTTTATATGTATAATACATGTACACCCGGGCGAAGCCGGGGCTAGTAGCTAGTCTATAGTATAAACTGAAGTCACTTCCGATGTCTGTTCGCTTAGAATCTAAGAGCTTTTAAACTACGCAACGGATTTTAATGAAGTTTTTAGCAATACATAGAGAGATTCAAGAGAAAGGTTTATATGTATAATACAGGTGCATCCAGGTACCAGCCGAGGCTGGTAGGTAGTTTATTATTATAAATACTACTAACTGAACTACTTAACATTATTTTTTTAATTTGGCTCGTTGTATACAGTTATAAAATATAGAATAGTTTCATTAAGTGACCATCAATATTATTTTCGAATAAAAAGTACTAGGAACATTTGGCGGAATCAGCTAAATTATACAAATGTTATAGTTACCAATAGAAAACAATTATATATTTCGTTATATTAATGTGAACCAAAAACTTGTACAAAAAACGGGTACACCGTATAAATTGCGCGGACAGATGTGTATGAAATGCGACTATCAGTGCCTGTGATTAAACTATGTACTAGGCTGTACGGTCTAAGGATCTTTGCCTGTTCCATCATTAAAAAAGATGTCATTCAACTCCTAGAAAAAAAAAGTGACAATAGTACCTTAATAATATTCAAATAATTTAAATAAAATAAAATCGAACTTGGACTGCTATGCGGCCATTAGTATATGTAAATATATTAATCTAGCAATAACATATCATTTGGTAAAAAAAAAATATAATCCCATAGAGAAATATTCCGTATCCGTCCTGAAAATCTATTTTCATCCACTCGGTAGATTATTCACGATCAGCGCCATCTATTGTCGAACATTGGAACTACGTCGTCACGCTCGTCACGTATGATATATATAAGACTTATGGACACGAACCTTGTATGTATACAGTCGATTGGATTGCCCACAAGATGGCGCGTGGTGAGAGCAGCGCTCGCCGCTAACAGCGCTGCAGTGGTTGCTCCGCAGTGCAGGCGGAAGGCCACCGAGTCGATTTTGGGGTTAACCCCTTGCTGAATAAAACAAACACAAAATCAATAATCATTCACATTTGACGGCCTCGGTCTAGCGGTTTAGCACGCAGCCTTACTTCCGATTCGCGGGTTCGATTCCTCGCACGGTGCAAACATTTGTGTTCATAAGTATGATTCTTTGTGTCGGTCTAGGTTTTTTTCTATGTATAATATGTATGTATTTAAGAAAAAAAATATCTATGTACTTGTATAAGTTATCTACTATCCATAACACAAACTTGGATCTAGATGGCGCTGTGTTAATTGTCCAAGGTTATTTATTTATTTATTGTTAACTGTTCACATGGTGTATATTTAACTCTCTAAATGTATTGATTTTTAATTAATAATTATCTGTAGGTGTATATTTTATAAAATTGCTGTTATTTTTCGGAAGAAGAACCACAGTAAGCAGAGTTTGTGTATGAGTACTAGACAAATTATATAAATACTCAAATATTTTTTATTGTCAACACATAAACACCCAGACTGATACAAACAATCATACTCATGAATACAAATAAAATCATAAAAAACCCGCAACCATAGGAAGTAAAATGTGCTAAACTGCTAAATCAGCGAGGCTGTCAACGCCTACCCTTACTACACGCTTCAATAGAACAAGAGGCCATGACGGCCAGACATACGTCTTATTAGTAAATGTAAAAGTTCTTGTATGTGTGTCCCCAACACAGGTGAGAACGATCCCCAAACATGAAACCTGGATCGTGGTTCCTTTGGCAGTTTTCATAAAATATCGTAAGTATATTTATAAAATAATATACTTTAGGGGTGTCCGGTAAGTGGTTGGAACCCTACTAAGTGTCTGGCAATGAAGAGCGCAAGTTATAACACGGTTACAAACAATATGTAAAAAAACTGAGTTTCATAATTTAACGAATTTGATATGAAATTTTTTACACCTTTGTTACCTGTTACCAGCTAAAGCAACCACGATCCAGGTTTCATGTGTGGGGATCGTTCTTACCTGTGTTGGGGACACACATACAAGAACTTTTACATTTACTAATAAGTCTAATGTCTGGCCGTCATGGGCTAAAAGTATTTACAGTTCCAAAAAAACGTTATCAATGAAGAAGCAAGCACCTAATTGTTTGTTTACATTGAAAGGCGTGATAAATTAGTTAAAAGATAACGTTTGAAGAAAAATACACGCTATCTGTTTCACACAAGGTCTGTTATTACGTAGGTAGAGCTGAAATCACATCTCGCTGTGAAGACTCGAGCACGAACATCGCTAATGTGCCGGGCTGGCTTGTACAAGTGTTTCATTAACTTATTTATCGCGTTCGCCTAGACACGGTCGTTACCCTCAATCTCTTTGTAGGGGGTAGCTACCCCCGCATAATATATCAATACAAGGGTGAAGGGATTGTTAGGAATAACGAGACCCCTCATTGCAAGGAAGATGTTAAAATCGCCATATATACATATATATATTGTACTAGCTGACCTCGCCAACGTTGTTTTGCCATATAAATTAAAATCGCTATTAAAAAATAGGGGTTGGTGGTAGAGCGGTGAAAATTTATTGTTATGTATTTTTAACTCATTATATAAAATAAATATTGTCCAAAAATTAAAAAAAATGTTAGGAGTGGTACTCCTTATCATTTACGGGTATGAAAAATAAATAATAGCCGATTCTCAGACCTACTGAATATTCATATAAATTAAAAAAAAATCTATTAAACTGTTTCGGACGAGTATGGCAACTAATATTGTGACACGAGAATTTTATATATAAGATTTGTGCATTAAAGTTTAAATAAATAAATATTTGAACACTCTCGTGGTCGCCGGGACAGTTATGATTGTGATCTATTACAAATGTTTGCGGTTGCAGCTGATAAGTGATTACCGCCGCCCATGAGCACCCGCAATACCAAAGGAACTGCAAGTGCGTTGTCGACCTTTTAATCTTATATCTACTAACCATTATAATTAATTCCTGGTTAATTAATCACAATGGGCTAACTGACCTCATCTTATCATCCTCCACTGGTGCGCCGCCAGCGTATACCGTTATCGTAGGCAAATCTACCATTATTAACCTTTAACTGCTGTTAGCCTTTCACGCAGAAAAGAATATCCATGTAAATGTACAAAGAGAACGAGAAGGACCGCGCACGGTATGAAAATGTTTGTATTTATAAATGTTAAACGTGTATTTGGTATAAATAATCAGTGAAACTAGAATTCTTATTAAAAAGAAGAAATGTCATGAATGATGCAGACACAAACATGCAATTCCTCAAGATTGCCTTCCCGTGCTAAATCTTGCGTGCTTCTAATCGCGTAAAAAATGTGTCCTGTAAAGCTATTAGAAAATAACAATGGAAAATAAAGAAAGGCCTGAACTCAACACCTTTTTTTTAGACTATTTTAATGATGTTGGCCGCAACTGGTCTTTGAAGTTTCACTAGAAGATAGGGGGCGAGTGTAGATGGCACTTCACCGCCGCAAAAGTATTCATGGAGCGGCTGAAGGCGTCCTACCTGACGGATAAGACTTTATTCTGAAGGTAGGGTTCGGTTAGGTACCGCTAGGGGTTCGAAAATCGGCTCAGGTTTGTAATTTCTAGATAGATCTGGGAGATCCGTTGCTACCATGGGCGTAGCCAGCCATGAACCTCAGAGTGGGACAGCAGCCTAAAACATTATGTAAATAGCAAACTGTTGCCGTGCCCTTATCTCGATTAAGTTTTTCATAAAAAACGGTTACAGCCTATAGCACCCTGTATCTCTATGTTATTTCTTGTCTCAACTGTCGGGTACGAACTTTCCTACGGAGATTCAGTATCTTAATTAGTACTTATATAATTTATTTTTTTAGGTTTGGTTAGATACCTTACAGGTCAGAGCTAGGGTGGGGCAAGCGCTGCACCTTGCCCAACCGCAGTTGCGGTCAATTTAATTTTTTTCTATTTTGATATGGACCACCTTAATAGACCTTAATAGAATTTCTGTTCTTCGGCTGTTTTTGGGAACAACACTAAAAACAAATACTCTAAATCTCCTTTCTAACATATCAACCCTTGATACTCCATGTTTCAGTTTTAGTCCAGTTACCGATTGTGATATTGAAAAGAGCTTACTGACAATACATTCTGATGCTTTAGGTTCTAACGGCATTGGTCGTACTATGGTCCTACCTATCCTTGATATTATCCTTCCAATGACCTTCATTTTCAATAACTCATTGTCTTGAAGTGTTTCCTTGTGGAAAGATGCTGACATTATTCTTCTTCCAAAAAAAATGTACCTTTTTCTGATTACTGACATACCGCCCTGCGGTCATGGTTTGCCATCAGATATGTTGAAGCATGAAGTAATGACTCACCCCTCCAGAGAGCAGCGCGTATATGCTGGTGAGGATCTCCATGGGCCTGCGAGGCTGCGCAGCGCGCTCGCGCCGCCGCCACGTGTGCGCGGCCGCGCCCCCCGCGCCGCCCGCGCCGCCCGCGCCCGAGCCCGCGGCCCCGCGCCACCGCCGGCCCCACGCGACGCCCGACTCTCTACAAGAAATACCAACATTCAATAATCTTTACATAGTATGAAAAACAAAGAAAGAAAGAAAATAATTTATATATATGGTCCGGCTCGAAGGACCATAAAGATGTATGAGTCTGCTGCTGTCTGTCCCTATATATGCTATATCTTTAAAACTACGTTACAGGCGGTTTTTTTAATAGATAGAGATCACTCTTAGAGTGATTCAAGAGGAAGGTTTATATATATAATACATGGGCACCCGTGCGAAGCCGGGGCGAGTAGCTAGTATTGTATAAATGATAAGTTCCGGACTGCTTTCTAACTTGATTATTCGAGTGTACGATGCTTGAGTGTAGACTGAACGTTTTGATATGTGGACTGATGCTTGCTTAAGCAAACATCAGTCCTCAGTCATGTACTGAAGGAAAAATGATCTGGGCGTTATATCTAGTAAATTACGTAACGGATTTTAATGCAGTTTCCTCGCGAACGAAGTCGCGGACACAGCTAGTTTCTTATATCTTTGCTATGATTATTTTGTATTCGCCAAACAAATATATTTTCTTTCTTTCTACCTCGATAAAGCTTATGATACATTATACAATTTGTCACATACCTACGACATATGTAAGGTCCAATAGTATATAAAATATTAAAACTCATCTATTATGCATTGCGTATGTATAGAATTCTGCGGGTACCGCATAAAAGCATTAGAGATCAATCCCAAGGGAATGGTGGGACATTCTTCTATCAGAACTGTACGTGATTGCTGACCAAATTGTCAACCTTGTACCTACAAGTGCTATAGTAAAAAAAAAAGTTCAAATGTCATTTTTTTTATTCTTATATCTTATTCTTCACTAACTACTCCGAGACAAGTAATATAGTTGTATAGTTAAAAATAACCTAATTTTTATTCTTATTTTTTTATTCATTACTAGTTACACCGCCCCGGCTTCCCGCGGCTGTACATGTATTATACATATAGTCCTAATTTTTTATTCTTCTTTCTTTATTATTTCCTAACTAACCCGGCTTCGCACGGTTCTACATGTATTATACATATAAACATTCCTCTTTAATCACTCTATCTATTGCTTAAAATTGCATTAAAATCCGTTGCGTAATTTAAAATATCTAAGCGAGCAGACTACGGTAGCGACTTTTTTACATAAGTATTCTATGTAAAGATTATGCACACACATAGGAAAAAAATGTTATATGTTATGTGAAAGGATAAGTCTCGGTAGTCTCGCGATATATAGCACACCGCCTTCTTTTCTGATGGTCGCGGGTTCTGAAGGTCCACGTACAGTACAAACATTTATATTCCATGTACCTATGTAAAAATTGTGTATTAAAAAAAATTAATTAAGTAATTGCCATTCATTCATCCATCCAGTGCCATCCCGTCCAGAACTAAGCAGAGCTTTAGTTATGGGTAGCTAAACAACTGATATTAATACATTTTATTTTGTAAATACATACATAGAAAACATCCAGACCGATACAAACAATAATACCTATGAATATAAACGTTTGTACCTTGCGAGTAATCGAACCCGCGACCGTCAGAATTAAGATGGTGTCTAAACTGCAAGAGCACAGGCATTGTAAGATAATTACGTAAGATTTATTTATTCTTTTATTGCACTTATAAAATTGTACAATGTGGCGAGCTAAATTCCATATGGGATTCTCTACCATCTAGATATTGGGTAAAATAGAAATACATAGTATTACCTAACATAGGCCTTCAAAATTATTTAACCTATATATATACATACATAAAAATAAATATATACCTACTAAATAATTACAAGACTTAATATCTTAGATATAAAATTCTCGTGTCACAGTTTTCTTTCCCATACTCCTCCGAAACGGCTTGACCGATTCTCATGAAATTTTGTGAGCGTATTGAGTAGGTCTGAGAATCAGCCAACATCTATTTTTCATCCCCTTAAATGTTAGGGGTAGTCCACCCCTAAAGTTTTTATTTTTATTTTAAGGAAAAACAACGTTTGCCGGGACAGCTAGTATAACTATAAATATACACAGCATATTAATACACCAAAAAAAAAGAGATATGACAAAGGATATACATAAATATACATATATATATTACGACAACAACAGCCAGTTAAAAACATTTTGTTCATTCAGAAGATAATCAAAGATTTTCATTTTGGAAACAGGCTCACTTGCTTACGTAAGTAACATTTACATGTGTAAAGTTGTCGAACGAATCTCCCAAAAGAAAACTGAATATTTTCGTTAATATCATTAGTTGAATAAGAAATATGCACGTACGTTTCTGTTGCGTATTTTGTTTTGATAAATTCAGTTAAATACAGTCGGTTCAGAATTAGATCGATGGCTACTGAAATTTTTGAAAGACTATAAAATAGTAATTCTAAATTTGTTTAGGAGTTCAACGGCTATACTCCCTATATATACATAATAATATAGGGAAATAATAAATGATAAAAAGAATGAATAGAAAAAATGAATATTTAAAAGTCAATATAATTTATAATAACTATAGCTATTTAGTTTAATAATTTTTTTTACGTGGCAATTGATGAAAACTGTTTTAATTAATTTAAATGTTAAAAAAATATTTGTATAAATTTTGGACCGTGAAGAATTGTTCCCAAAAGTGGCAAAATGATATTTTTTGATAGTACGTTAACTTCCTTGAATTATACAATATATTGATGTGTAATTTGGAACGTATTGTGATAAAAATATACATACATATATATGTACTTGCTTAAGTAACCGAGTGTCCTAGAAAAATAAATAATAATAAATCTTTTTTTGTGCATAAAAGAAACAAACAATTACAAAAAAGAAATAAAAAAGATGCATAAAAAAGGCGGCCGTATCGCGTAAAGCAATCTCTTACAAACAACCAAGAATATATAATTTTTAAATTCGAATTTAAATTACTAGGTCTAGTGTTACCATTAATAGCAATGTACAATGTCAGGGTCATCTCGACGCAGTCACCCCTCGAAACCATCGTGGTTAATATTTAGTAATTAAGTGTTGTTTTGCGTACGTCCATTTCTATTATTCGATGGATTTACGAGTTTAATAACTTTTTGCCTCGCACAACCACATTGTGAATCACCTTCCAGCAATGGTATTTCCGAACCGATACGATATTGAAACCTTCAAGAAAAGAGCTTATTCCTTTTTAAACGGCCGACAACGTACTTGCAATTCCCCTGGTGTTGCGTGTGCTCATGGGCGGCGGTAATCACTTACCATCAGGTGAGCCGCATGCTCGTTTGTCCCCTGTGTTATAAAAAAAAAAAATCTTTTCACCTGATGATGCCTCGTTTAAAGGCCAAACACGCCGATAATGATCTGAGTTTGTTAGTGAGAAAGGTCGTAACAGTTCCAGTAGCGGTGGTCAGGTTTCCGAATTGTATTTTTGTGCTCTCACACATGCTAATGGTAGCGGTATTAAATATATATAAATCTATTAAGTAATATTCCTTTCATTCTATCTTGCGCCATCCACCATCTTCTGCCTTTTCTCCTCTACCCAAAAGTTCTCAAATGTCTTGATAAGACCGCTTTTTATACCTGTACGCTCTAAATATTCTGTTTTATTGTATTTTTGTATATATATGTATAACATCGTGGTTAATTTTTAGTGGTCATTATGCTTAGATGATGATGCATATGCATTCACCATTGTAGCGAACTCCTTGATAGGTTTTTATACCATTTTTTAATTTTATAATAATATTCCTTGACATATTCTTTATTGTTCACTTTCTATTATATATCGCTATCATACTAGTCGCATTTTATTTAATCTCCGTATTTTCCTCATTAAAACCCTCAGCACCTCTCACTCATCAGACACATTTGATACCTCCGCTTCACCATGATGGTCTAACCCACTTGACTTCCTCGTCCTATCAACCCTGGTGCCAACAGCACAATCGGGTGTTCCATATTCAAATAAGAAAATGCCTCTTACATCTATAAATAGTTTGTTCAACTCACCAAACTTAGAGAAACAGAGATTGTGTGAATTGGAATAATTATCACAGATTAAACAAACAAAACGGTCGGCCGGTATCGAGGCTTGCTTGTGTGAACACGTGTTCTATACTGAACCCGATCTTAAAGGTTTTAATGAAAACGAACGCGGCTCATTGAGATTTGTAAAGGCTAGTGCAGCACCAATAGATTTATTTACTAATTATTTTGTATTTTTTATACTACGGTAATGGCAAACAAGCATTTGGCCCATCTGAGGGTAAATAGTTAGCGTAGCCTATGATCGCCTGACAGCAGTATCACGTCTGCTTTGCCGACCCTTAAGAAACCTCCAGAAACTCTTCTTAAAAATCTTAAATTCGTAATGCTGAACAATACTTACAATATTAAAAGAGTAAAAGGCGAATTTCTGGCTCGTTTTTCTTGTGATGAGACTGCTCTCTAAATGAGTGGTACAATCGAAAAATATATGACTATTTAAAAGTGAAAGTAAAAGTACTATATTTCATCATCTGCTTCTTTCTTATCCCATCGATTTGTGGTCAGCGTAATATATTTTTCTCTTCCATTCATCCCTGTTAGCAGTGATCTCGTAATTCACTCCCTCTCCTGCCATATCATCTTCCACACAGTCCATCCATATCTTTTTCGGCCTACCTCTGAACTTCAATATAAAGGAATACTTATTTAGCATCCCTTTGTTTTTTATATTTTTATCCGCGCTTTTAATTACTATCTCATTGATTTCAATAGATGGCGCTGATTGTTAAAAACTAATAAAAATATGGTGGATTGTGAAACTGAGATTGCGAGTGACAGTGTTAGAAAATAAAAGTGTTTTAGTGGAAAAAGATCAACAAATACACTTTAAAAGTAGTTTCTTTGTTTTACACGTAATGTTTCTTTCATTACGATAAATTGATTGTAATTTGTTTGTAACAAAAATTGTGCCCGTTTATAAACAAAATGCTAAGTTCTACAGAGCAACGCATGG